AAATATTGTACAAGTATAGTGTGTTGCCCAGAAAATTCAGTTGAGGCGAAGGCTGAAACACGCGGTTGAGTGAGAAGGCCGACAACGACGATTACGCGAAGTGAACGAAAATTACAGGCGGACGGCCGACAAAACAATTACGTGACAGTGAGTGTCGGTGGGCTCACGCATCCCTCGGCGGCGGCTGGTGTCGCGGCAGCGGCCTCGCGGCACTTACGACGGCCGCAGTGAATCGAGTCTCGAGCAAGCGACGGCGCGACGGCGGGCACGTGGTGACCACGGGTATCATTGCGGGCGCGAATTCGTGCGTACGGGGTGTCGCGAAAATGCGAATAAGTCCGCGAGTGAATTACCGTGGTTGCGTGAATGCAGTGATTGGTGAAGCGGTGGTAGAGAGCCCGGAATAAATGCCTGTCGTTTACGCACACGACGAATGTAACCGGTAAATGAGCACGGTAAATTCGACAGTGAACATTGACAAGTGCGGATTGACATGAAGTGGCACGCGATAAGTGACAAGTTATACCGCGAAACAACGGACAGACATAAACGCGAGAAAACAAACTGTGATAAGCGCGAGAAGGCGGACAGTATATACGCGAGAAAACGGACAGAACAATACAAGAGAAACCGAACAGAAATGTACGCGTGAAGCCGGACATGAATGCAACGGTGCAGCGAGGAGAATCGACGGAGGGTGTAAGGCTCCGTTTCGATTTTCTCGACGGCGGATTGCACGACGACTTTCCGCTTTGGCAGCTCGGCGTCGGGAATCTCGTCGCTCTCGTCCGGCCACCAGGTTCGGTTCTCCGGTAGCCACCTTGGGCCCGTCCATCTCAAGAGATTGCCGATCAGTTCGCTGGGAGCGATCTCCTGAGAAGAGCAGTTGGCCGGGTTGTCTCGTCCAGGAATGTGCCGCCACTGGGCCTCGTGACGAGTACGCTGGATGAGTGACACCCGGTTGGACACGAACGGCTTCCACCTGGACGCGTAATCCGTGACCCAGTGAAGTGTCACGCGGGCGTCGGACCGGTGAAGTAGCAGAGCTGCGGATAAACTTAAAGGGTCGCGAGCGTGTCGCGTTAACGCGGTGAGCCAAGTGGTAGTGGACAGTTCAAGTGCGTGTTGCAGACGGTATTTCTGAGGGATCCCGACGAGACTGTCCTCAGAGTTCGCGGCCCATTTATGCAGCGGGAGCCCGCCCGCCGTACAGGGTTCGCGCATTTCGGTGTGCACGGCGGTCGCGTCGTTGACGGGCTTGCAGGGTGCGGCGAGGTTCCTCGGGTGCAAAGAGACCGGCCGTCGGACGACGTACCGGCTTGCGGATGTGCGCTTGAGGGTGCGCACGGAGGGTCGCTCGCACTCCTCTTCCTCGGGAGTGAGCTTGGTGATCGTAGGCGGACGAAGAAGGTTCTCAGGGCCTGAGGCCCCCTTGCGCGCTGAACACCCGCCCACCGTGCAGAGTTCGGTTTGCACGGCGATCGCGTCGGCGACAGGCTTGCGGGTTTCGGCGTGGTTCTTCGGCGGCGATGAGACCGGCCGTCGGACGACGCACCGGCCAGCGGATGTGCGCTCGTGGGCGCGCACGGAGAGTCGTTCGCACTCCCTTTCCTTGGGAGCGAGCCTGGCGAAAGCGGAGTGAGCTTGGAGTGAGTGGCGGTGACCGAGAAGAGAGGTCGCACCACAGCCCCCTGACAGAATCCATCCCAGGATGGTTTTCTGCGCGATCGGCGTTTGCGGTTTGCCTCGGCGGAGACCATCCTCCAGGATGGTCGAGCACACCTCAGCGCCCAGGAGCAGCTCGACTGGGTCGTTGGCGGCGAAGAGCGGGTCGGCTAGCGGAAGCCCCTGGAGGTGAGGCCACGTGGTGCTGCACGTGATCGCGGAGCCCTGGTAAAGCGAGGGGCGCGGAAGCAGGAAAACGACGGCGGTGAGTGTGGCTCCGGTGGTCCTCGACGTGAGGCTCATTGACACCTTGCCCCGAGTGGATCCCGATTGTGAGCCTCCAATGCCAAATATTGACACTCGGGTGCGCGATCGCGGTAGGCGCAGCCGTTGTACCAGGGACCCCGACACAATCGACACTTCGGAGCCTTGGTCGATGAGGGCTCGAACTTCGTGTGGCTTCCCGTGACGATCGGCAACAATCACGCGCGCGGTCGCAAGGAGGATCGCTTTGCGGTCGTCATCCATCCGACGGCGGAGAGCGCGCTGACCTCAGCGGCGGGTGTCGGCTCGGAAATGTACGCGTCGTGAAGCATCGTGTGGTGACGCGAGTTACACGTCATACAGTTCCTGGTGGACTGACACCGTGCCACCAGGTGGTTGCCGAGACAGTTAAAGCATAGCTTGTTTGTCTCGGCCACTGTCTTTCTGTCACTGGCCGGCTTGGCCTTGAAGTCGGGGCATCCCATGAGCGAGTGCTCCCCGTTGCAGAGCGGACACTGCGAAGGCTCGGAACGCTTCGCGACGTAAGTTTTCGCGGACCGTGATGATTCACTCGCAGGTTTAATGTTCTTCGGATTCGCGGCGTTTAAAGTGAGAATCCGTTTCGCGATGAAGTCGGTTAGAGTGTCGTGACTCGGCGGTTCGAAGGAGTCTCCCGAGGAGGATTCCCACTCCAGGCGCGTTCGCGGGTCGAACAGTTCGACGACGAGATGATTGAAGAGATCCATGCCGTGCGAGTCGATGGGTCTTCCTATGCTCTCCTGAGCGTTGACGGTGGAGATGACAGCGTTATGGACGCGGCTGAGCTCATCGGCGGTAGCGGTTTTCATCTTCGCCACGGCGGTAAACGTGGCGAAGTTGGAGCGTATCAGCTCCCTCTTGTTCTCGTAGTGCTTACAGAGAATAGCCCAAGCGCGGTCGTAATTGTCGCCCGTAATAGTTAATGATTTTATCAAATTTTCAGCCGGCCCCTTGAGACATGATCGAAGGTAGCGCAGCCGTTCGACTTTCGAGATGGACGACAGTAGGCATACTATAGGGGATTCAGAATCAGGCTTACGTGACGGTGGGTCGGGGGCAGGAAGCGGAACGCGTGGGGGCTGCCATAAGCGGTGGGCGAGGGGATGGCGTCGGCAGACGGGGGCCGCCCCGCCGCTGCTTTTCTAACTCAGGATAGTGGGGGGAAGCGAGG